GACCGGAGCAATCTAGCAAAGGTCACAAACTTAACACTTTCTGTTGTACCAATGTCCTCACTGATTTTGTGCATCAACAACGTAAATTATAAAATTTCTGAAAACAAAACTTTAAAAGTTCTCAATTTAATTTTTTTTCATAACCATAAATCGATTTATTTTCGATTTTTCTTCACACATTCATATATTTAAATGTTCAGTGTTTTACAAAGTTCCTCGATCAAATCAAAACCAAAAGTTTTTTAATCAACTGAAAGAGCAGCAGTTCCTCAATTAAATTAAAATGACGGCCATAAGCGCCTTAGTCCATAAACTATTAAACGAGGGCCAGAAGTTTCTTGATTCATGTAAATGAGGACTATAAGTTTTTTTTTTAATCCATGTATAGATTAAGTATGGGTATGAATTCCAAAAATATGAACCTGAAGGTTCTAATGATGTCGATTTTGAGAATAAATTTCGAGTACATATGAATAATGTTTTGATCTGAAGTTCAAAATATGAATAATGTTAAGAACATGAAGTTCTAACATTTTGTGTAGACATGTTATATGTGTTATGGGTTAATTTTTGCAATTTCTATCGTACCTGAATTTCTTCCTTTTGGGAATAAGAAAATGGTAAACTTAGCAAAATCCGATTTTGTGACCATTGACATCTTACACAAGAGATACTTTCATGAATTCATAATGTCCGAGAATTCATATGGAAGCATATGATATTAGAAACATTTATACTTAAAGGCTCATTGAATTATATTCATGGAACTAGGTGTTTCCATCGTTTCCCCATTAATTCATTAATTATGGAACCATAAGTTTCTATGGGTTCCCATATATAACAAGCTAAAGTAGAAGCTTTTAGACATGTATAATATACGTACACATGAGTTATAACTATAAAAACAAACAAATTGGGGGGGGGGGCTTCCCAAAGGTTGCTCATGTGATGTCCCAGTACTTGGCAAAACACCAGAAAGGGAAGACACCAGTTGCCTTCGGAATCTAACCACGAATCTTTGGTGATCACTTTGAATCCAACTTTTGGACTCCTGCAGCTGGTCGAGCTTTCTTTTCATGCTCGTTGAGTAAACATTTGCAAGTTTATGCAACTCTTTATTCTCGTGCTTGAGCCCTCTAATTTCTTGTATAAGACTTGTCACCTCAGACATTAATGTTTTGACTTGGCGAGTTCGAGCAAGTAGGCGTTGGCCCATGTTGGATATAGAACCCGCACACTGAACACTAAAAGCCAAAGAGTTTTTAATACTTGAACAGCCAATTCATTAGACCTCTTTGAAAGTATTTTTTTTTATCTTTGAGAGTAAGAAGGTTCCTAGCTACTACTGTAACTATTATATCATCCATCATTAAAGAGTCTCCAACCGTAATAGGGCGATTAAAGCATATTATCCTGACACTGCTTGTGTGTATCTCCTCCAAGACTCAAATCCAAACAAAGGTTGGATGGGCAAGCCATTTTCAAAAATAATGAAAGAAAAAGGTTGGATAAAGTGAAATCTCAAAAATACAATAGAGACAATTTTCATAGGCGAGCAACCTTCAAATCATGCATTTTGAATACTATTGATACCTCTATAAAAGGAGTGACAACACAGCTACCTGTTCAAAAATCGAAGAGACATCGCTCTCCGAATTTTAAAAGCCGGATTTTTCTGAATAAAGTTTGTCAGTATTTCTTAGACGCAATCTCAGCTTTCTAGATATCAAGGACAATTCTGTCAAAATATTTTTGGCAAAGTTAAAATGCGTATAGTCACTATTCCAACTACACCACCGTTGCCGACAAGCGTGGGTGACAAGGTCACCACTCCTATTATTGGGAAATCCTTATATATGTTGACTTTCATCCTCCATGGCAAAGCACACCTCCAAAACGCCGAACTCATCTTCCTTGCCAAGAATGAATCTGCAACAAAACTTTTCAACATATTCATTCTTCCTTCTCTCGAATACCTTTTCAAACAAGTCCCTCAAAATGCCAAACTCATTTTCTCAGCAAGAAACCCCTTTCGATCGAAAATGTTTACACCAGCATCAAAATCTTATACTTTTTCCTTCAAGAGAAAAAATATCTCATATTATCAAGGTCGAGAGCAAGAGTATCTCATATTATGCTCTTTCCCTGTCTTTTCCTTTGCCCTTGCTCTTACCTATAAGACAAGGAGAAAGAAAGCAATTAGTCGAAACCTAAAATCAAACTTCCAGTCTAGAACTGATTGTCTAGAACCTTTGCCTAATTGTTTACCTTGCATTGCTCTCGAATAGTCATCTTCAACTATTGTTGGAGTTGGGTTTCAAGTCATCAACACCACATAATAATTGGTACATTGTTGGCTCTTTACACTAAAGCTGCCAAGCATGGATGAGTCATTAAGAAGTGATGGACTATCCAAGGGCAAAGGTTGCGCACCACTTCTACTGTACAAGAGACTGAAGCATAAAGATCAACAATGAGCCTATAGAAGTCCAAAAGGAGAAAATTGGTGGATGTCTAAGTGAATGGAAGACCAAAGTTCAATGATGAGAATCCTACTCATGCCCCAACAAACACTATCAGTTTATATAATTCACATGATGTACAAAAAGGTAATGAAAATTTCTAATTAATTACAAGTTACAGAGTTGCGGCAGGGATTGAAGTCTCAGTCAGACTATCCATAAACTTAGCACTACTGAACTGTTGCATGCCCGAATCATGACAGTCGCTGCATGGATTCAAATTTATCTCATGCATGAAGCATAATTGATGTGTATGTTCCAATGATTCAACTCCCCAGAAGTGGAGATTAAAAATTCAAGTTCTATAACGCTTTAGAGGAGGTTATGACCCAAATTCTCAAACAATTCATCTAATAAGAGATGACTGTCTTAGAAGAAACAATGTAAAGCCCTTGACAAGGCAAGGATATCCAAAGTAATGAAATGCTTATAAATATGCATGCGCATGAGAATTATGGAATCAAGAATTGATGATTACCAATGTTAATTTTGGTTTTATAGCAGCTACTAAATTCATCAATGAGCTGTATTGATATTGAGACACATTCTTTTGTTCGTTGACTAAAAAGAAAAATTATTGGCCAAAATAGAGAAAGGCAATTCCATTACAATTTATTAAGAACATGAAAACATGGACCTATAGTACAAATCGCCAAATAATGTTGAACCCATAAGGTTACATATGGGCATTTGTAATACAATGAAATACACTCACATGATATGACACAAGGTTTCCAATGGAAACCTGATATTGTAATACACTCCTGGAAACATGATTTCTCATTGTGAAACTTGTTCATTTTAGTGGAGAATTATACATGCCCGAAGAATATCTTGACAAGTAAATCCCTCAAGTATACATAGAAGCAAGTTGCTCTGTATAAATTTCAAAGGAGAATGTGTCATGAAGTGTAGAAAATCCTGAATGATTCAAATAGCTTGAAGAAGGAAGGGTAAAACATAAATTATGTACTCAATACCAATGAATGATATAAATTGCCTTAATGAATACTTTCATTATGATATTGTTGCAACACATTAAATCTCTTGCAAGAGTTGTTATTAGATTGGAACTCCTGAAGAGTCTAGAAAGATTATAAAGTGTTGAAAGGAATATTGTCTTGAGCTGCAAATCGAACAATATGCCAACATGAATCTTACCCATGATGCTTATGGTATTAAAGAATCAAATGGATTGAAGATTATGAGTTGAATACTCAAATGATTAATCAATATTTAGACACTAAAAAAGATTATTCATCATCATGAGGGAAATGATAAATTGATATTTGGTCCAAGAGTACCATATCTTAGTGAAGTATATGCCTTACTGTATTTCGCACAATACATTGAATCAGATGTTACACTTTCTTTGGAGCATAATACCAACAAATGGGTATTGCAATGAAATAAAGTTTATTTATTGATGTCTCTAGGAAAATATAGACAAGTGCTTGTTCTATTCCAAAGAACACATTAATAGCCATGGTCTTATTGAGCAAGCAAATTTTGAATACCTCTCTAGCCTACATACAAATCGCTCTCAGAAATGATTTGTATTTACTTATGGAAATAAATTGATCCTACAACAATCAAGAAAGAAACATTCATTGCCACATCTTCATATCTCTCAAAAATACAAGAGTTTGGCTAAAACCTGTGGCAATTAAAATTTAGAGCGCATGTGAACCACCTTCAAAAGCAAACACTCCAACTATCATGAATGGTATCAGATTACATCAACATAGTAATCAGTCAGATTAAAGAATTCGAAATCAATGGAAGATACTCATTAGGGGGAGCATCCAAAACATATCAAGGTTTTAACGAGTCAACTGAAATTGACGTATGACCATCCAAGGAGGAGTGTTGTAATATAATATGCGAATGGCCCACATGAATAGTTCATTACTATTCATCCATGGAAAAATCAGATGAATTATTATTCATATGAAGAAAAATGGATGGGTTACTATTCATGCACAGTATTTTACTATTCATTTGAGGAAAGTTTGTAAAGTGAATAGTGTTGCTATAATAATCTTTTTCCTATAAGATGAAAGCATACGGAGGAAGGAAAATGAGAGAAGAAGAAGAAAGAGATGAGAGATAAATATACAGAGGAAAGAAAGAGGAGTTATGGAGGAAAGGAAGAGAAGAGAAAAGAAGAGAGATGCAGAAGAAATTACCAGTGAGCCAGGCTACAGAGAAAAGAAAAAATAGTTAGAGTTATTTTGTATTCCTATTATTTCATATAATGAAAGAAAGTACTATTACTTGCCAAACCTTGTAAATATTGTGTCTTATTTACTTTATTCTACTACACGCATACCGTCGACTTTGCAACATCATAAGATTTGTATAAATAATGTTTCTTCCAGCTTATGTTTATGCTTCACTGTCTGTAAATCGAAAAGGCTGATAACGCATTGCAAGATTGATGGCAAAATTGAAAAGGCCGATAACGCATTTGCAAGATTGACGGCAAAATTGAACATCTATAACGTTCGTCGTAGTACTAATTGATCGTGTTTTTTTTACAGTAGACCAATTCTTATTGATAAAGCAAGGATTTATAGATATTTCTATCTATAGCGGAAGAAACAATGTTCAAATGGTTAAGTCTAAGTTTATGTGATTGCCTGCAACCTGAATGTTACTGAAATTGCCAGTTGAGGTTGATTCCGAACTAGAGTGCTCATCAGCTGAAGGCCGAAACTGTCTCTCTCTTTGGTTTCGGTTCGTCACCGGATCAAACGACAATGAGAGCTCACAAAGTCCGTACAGTTGACAAGTTTGATCATCCATAGACAATCTGCTGAGTTCTGATGTATGAGTATTCTGTAAAGACAATGTGAAAACCAATTAAACTTGTGAAAAAACAAGAGTTAAAATTTAACATTGAACCCAGAAAAGCTGTCTCTCTCTCACACACACACATGAAGTACCTGGTGTATAGCATGTTGCTTGCCAGCAGCTTCCTCGTCAGATTCAGAATGCATTACATTTTCCATATCTTTTAGCTCATCGTATCTTACATAATTCTCTGATGACCTGCAGAAGATAAAAAACAGACCAAAAGAAAAAAGGTTTTCCAATGTTTGATTAACTTGAAAAACAAAGCTAGAGAATGCATGGAGATTATATGCTCAGTTACATGAAATCGTATAGTTGGGAAATATTTTGTGTATATACCTTTGATGAGTTTGACTTGGGAAAGCGGAGAAGACACTACTGCTGTGATCTTCAGAAAAAATATTGATGTTATTATCCTTGAAGCTCCTGTACATCTGTCAATAAAACCCCCAGAATCTACCAATTCAGTACGCAGTACTTACATGCACGTAGAAGAATCGATCTACTACTGACTAGTATATACGTATTTTTTAAACAAATAGTATATACATATTAGATCCATCAAAATTAATGTTATCAAATCATGTTTTTGGTAATTTCATAACGTCCACTCACGATATCTTATTACTCTTGTGCTGTAACAAAACGTCCATGTTGTAATAACCAATATCTTTGGTTTATTAATAATTGAGTTGTGTGACCGTCTATGTCATTGATGCTCAAGGAAAAGTTTTATAGGACGACAACAAAATCAACAATGCTTTATGGCTCAGAATGTTGGGCGGTCAAAAAATCAATACGTGCAAAAAATAAGTGTAGGGAAGATAAAAAAATGTTTAGTTGGATGTGTGGGCATATGAGGAAAGATAGGATTAAGAATGAGGATATCCGAAGTAAAGTAGGAGTGACCGCAACTGATGATAAAATGAGAGAAAATTAATTAAGGTGGTTTGGACACATGACCCGAAGACCTACAAATACTCCGGTTAGGAGATGCGATTATGAGATGGAAGCTTAGAGAAAAAAATGTAGAGGAAGACCTATGAAGACTTGGAAAGAGACTTTAATAAATGACATAGAGTACTTGAAGCTAACGGAAGACATGACGCAAAATCGAGCTTAGTGGTGTTTTAGGATTCATACAACTGACCACACTTAGTGAGTTAAGATTTGGTTGTTATTGTTGTTATATTCTAAACTAAAAAAAAATCTGAAATTAATTGAAATAAACAATGGACGAAGGGGTTTGGCACTGCCAGAAAAAAAGAGAGGTGTACAAGAAACTCCTTGATGGTCGTATTAATCATATGATTCACTTCTTTATTCAAGCATTTGATCAGGAGTGGCTTCAAGCATTTGCAGTTTGGTTCCATTCCTTACTAAGTCTCTTGTGTTTTAATTTGTTTTACTGACCAACAACCCATCAAACTCTCAAGACCTCTTCCAACAATTTTAGTCGAGACTAATCAACTGCCCCTTGTGTTTTATTTCACTCTCTCTTAATCTGCTTAACCTAGCCATAATCTAATACCAATATGACCCATTTTTTATTTAACTAGCTAGCTTGAGACGATTTGGTCATTCTCCTATATATACGTAGAGAGAGAGAGAGAGAGAGAGAGAGAGAGAGAGAGAGAGAGAGAGAGAGAGGATTAGGTAATTAGGAACATATATAATTAATCTGTCTTATATAGTTTATGACGAAGTCAATTGCATTTGAAGGACTGGTTAAATCATCATCAGCTAATTAACCTGAGTTATTTTTCGATAAAAAGTAATCAATCTGAGTTAGCACCAGCGGAAACTATATATTATATATATACTACCAGCAGAAGTGGAAGTATGCCTAAGTTTTTTTCTTTTGTGCCAGAATATATTTTATTAATCATTATAATTATGGTAATGATCATAAAAGAAAAAGAACTATCTGCTTTTAGGCCTTAATTTTTGCGGCTCAACTGATCTTCCGAATTGTTTCCTGTACGACTACTTAACTCGTTTGCTGCATCAGAACTATTTAAATACCTCTCTAGGCCTCCCTAAGCTCTATATTAGTTAATTGTTTGTTGCACCAGAATTGCATATATATATATTATATTGGAGTCAATGTATGTTAGTAGATCGTTAAAACTAAGAAACCTAGATCTAGTCAATAGAGGAATTTTCTTGAATTTCTTTGACATGTTGCTAGATATATAGTTATGTTGTTAAGGCCGAACAATATTTAAACGTGATTTTACTTAATTCATTATTTGAGGCTGTTTGACAATATAATATGTTTGATAGTCTAACAACATAATATTACTGATCTAAAATTAACAGACCAAAGAAAGTCTAAATGAAAAAGAACAAAACTACCATCGAATGTATGTATACACGTACTCTTTTAATAATAGATTGAAACCTAGACATAGGGCAATTAATAATATACGAATTAGGACACCGCCCACATTTCTACTTTTTCAATAATGGCAACGGCCTTATAAGCCAATATACGAAGGAGATATGCAGCTAGCTAGATAAAGATAGAATCATCCCTGTGAGCCTTATGCAGCGAGCTATTTCTTGTTATGTCTACTGTTTTTGGGAACAAAGACAAAGTTCTAAGGTAGAAATTAAAGAAAACGAGAAAGGAGTACAAAGGAGGTAACCAAAGTGTAGGTTAAAATTAGCCGAAAAATACTCTCATCCATCCTCCTTCCATTTCTCCATAATTTACATGATCCTACATCTTCTTCCAAACCACAATACCTCCACCCTTTAATTTCTTCGGTTTCAATTTTCCAGATTCTCCCTTTTTCTCTTCCAAATTTCACTTGTTGATCCTTTTTAAAATTAACCTAAGAATGATATATTTTATATATCGTATTCCAATTTTCCAACTGATGAAATTCTTAATTCCTTACCATATATAGAATTATAAAAATTAACTTGATGATCCTTTTCAATTAAATAGAGATAATCTCATCATTAATGGAGCGAAGGAATGATTTATATTATAACAAAACCCTACTCACACTAAATTAGGTCAAAAGTACTGCATATATCTGATTCTGTTTTGCTAGCCATTTCCATTGGGTTTTTTTTCTTTCTCTTTTTGGATCTGTCAATAATGGTAAGTGTTTTAATTGTAGGGTTTTGATCGGCCTTACAAGTATCTCATTAATTTTATACAATTTCTTTTCATGTAGTAATATGAAAATTTATACCTGCAGATGGCTTTTGACATGAGAAATTTCCAGTCCCTTCACACTCATCATCTGCAAAATCCGCTTGGGAGTGGCTTCTGCAGAAATCAAGACATACTTAAATATTGAATTTCTATGAATTCAAGATAGCTTAGATTATATAATACATATTTATATATATAATCTAAGCCAATTCAAGCGACCAATTATGTATATGAATTGCACTTACTGTATTTTCCTCCAAGGCTTTGAACAGCTTCAACAAAGAGTTCATGCAGTTGAGATGTCCACCGCAAGCGTGGAAGCTCAGATTTGTGGTATTTCCTCACTCCAATTCTATGAGAACTACCTTTCATAATTTCTTTCTTCGACATCGTAATCGAATTCGTATGCATATATTCAGAATAATGCTTGAGGATCCTCCTCGGAGCTCTAGAGATCTCTTCACATGTAGTACAAGCTTTGTGATGAATGAGTTAATATGCGAATGGGGTAGTAGTATGGCAAGCTACCTAGAATTAATATGAACGCAGGCAGCAGCTAGCGGCAACCATAAAAATGTTGATCAGTCTACGACCGACGACTTATAAAGGGCCTGTTACAACTACTTTTCGTTTATAATTACTTTGTTTTGGTCATATATATGTTTCTATTCTATTTTTTCTTGGAGTGTTTGGTCATGTATTCATGTTGAAATATTCTGCTAATTATCTTATAAATAAGTAAAAAACAAGGCTCTACTTTTAGAAAATGCTGGGGAATATTTGTCTCGGACCATTTCCTTGCTCTTTGCAAATTACTAATATGTTATTTTATAAAATCAACCTCCGATTAAGCAATGACTGATATATATCCTCAAGGTTTCAATTTACTATATTGGCTTGAAATTTTTAGTCAAATCAAACAATTATTTAAAAATTGAAGCAGATATATGCATGTGATCGATGAGAATTGTTTACAGAACAAGTATAAGATGGAAATTAAGTGCCTTGAGAGACCATTGTATATTGAACTGACAGAAGCAACGAAAGTCAAGAACATGATGTAATCGTGCAACTATTTAGGACTTAGATAGGTATATAATGTAATATACCTTTAAGCACCGATTAATTAGTTATATTACACCAATTAAGTGATGTTCAGCATTGGACATATCATTTGGTATCAGTTTCTTTGTTTACAAAAATATATGTAACTCAACATATGGAAAAATATGAAATTACTAACAACGCTACATGGTTTTTTTAGTGAATCTTTTTTTTTTCTTTTTTAAGAGAAGAGCAATTTGGGTATTATGAAAGTTGCACCCTTTTTACCTTCTCCCTTTATATATAGATAACCAAGTATTAAAAATAGTCGTCACATGCATGGGAATGATATTCATATTGATAATACATATATATATATTGATGCAATATAGATTTCGAATACATCAACAGACGGCCTAACTCAATCATGTCAATGCATTGTTGAAAAACCTAATTCTTATTAATTAAAAGACTAAACTCACGATTGCAAAAAGTTTCCGACGAAAAGGATTTGTTGTTCCATATAATTGATGCATATATATAGTTTAACCCATATGTGCGAAAAAAACCTAGGACATGCATATCTTTTTACTTAAACTTCATGATTTTCGGACAACGAGCCACAGTATGGCAAAGCAAAGCCAAGAAAGTCAAGGTTGTGAATTAAAAAGAAGCATTGGCCATCTCTTAATTTCTCCAATCAATATAATATATTATTTTATACATCATGTCAAAAAATGACGGTGCCTACTTTTGGACCCATCTGTGCATCTTTGTGCTGCCGTGTCCCATGCTACAATCCCTAAGAATGCAGTGTGCAAGAAAAAGAAGAATTTAACCCTAGAATTTGTTGAAAGTTGCATGCATGCATGGTAGTTGATTGGAGCTAGAAATATAGACATTCCGCTGTATTGACACCCATAAAATTATAGGCCGAATCATTTAGATTATGAATTCACCCTTTGGTTATGAAGGGTGTTGATGCACAAAACCGGAGGTGTTGATGCACAAAATCAGAGGTCTTGGAACAACGTAGATTTGACCGTGAATCTGCAAAAAATGTAAATAACACAGATGTATCGTGGTTCACCTCAATGTTTGGGCTACGTCCACACTGATTATTTTATTTCTCTTAGGGGATTGTGAGGGAGAGAACCTCTGTAATGTGAGAGGGGATTTGAGAGGGTGAGAGGGCTTCAGGCCTAAGAGTTGGCCTCCCCCAATGAGGAGAGTAAGGAGTCATTTTATAGAATAAGGGATCCTCACTTATTACATATTTGCCCCTTCCTTTATTACATAATTACATTTAAGTCCCCGAGTATTTATACGAGATATAAATACGGAGGCCCTAAGTATGGTACAAACAGTAGTCCTCCAAGTCTTCAATCAAGAGAGTCTTTTGGCTGGAGACTTGAAATTCAGTCCATGTGTGGGCCAAAGTAACTAGATGTCGTCTAGAACTGATACTCGATATGAGGCGGTACCCAATCTGAAATGATGCTAAACCAGAAATAGCACATGTTGCGAGGCTGCTTTGCTTGTGGCTTATGTTGCCTTGGTTGGCTCGGCTTATGGCGTTTGAATGTGAGGGAGTCCCTTTTATAGAATAAGGGATTGCTCCTCAATACAAAAGTGATGGGCTAGAGTTGGTGCTTGCGGCGAGGCGGTTGCTCAATGGACGGCAATGCTCTCTAATGATGGTGAGGGAGTCCCTTTTATAAAATAAGGGTTCGCTCCTCAGTACATAAATAATGGGCTAAGTCTCCCTAGTATTTTTTATGAGGCCCAGTTGAGGCCCGATATATGGTACATAATGTAGTCCCCTAAGTCTTTGGTCAATAGAGTCTGTTGGCTGGAGACTTCAAATTGAATCCATGTATGGGCCGAAGAGGCGGTTGTTCGGAGGCGGTATTTGTATACTCTGCACTGAAGCTTTGTAGGTGAAGCTTTGCAAGTGAAGCTTTGAAGCTTGAGCTCTGTAAATGAAGCTTTTGAAGCTAGAGCTTTTGTAAATGAAGCTTTTGAAACTAGAGCTCTGTAAATGAAGCTTTTGAAGCTAGAGCTTTTGTAAATGAAGCTTTCGAAGCTAGAGCTCTGTAAATGAAGCTCTGTAAATGAAGCTTTTGAAGCTAGAGCTTTTGTAAATGAAGCTTTCGAAGCTAGAGCTCTGTAAATGAAGCTTTTGAAGCTGATTGACATGAGTGATGCTCATGAATGTTTATGTTGATTGATATGAGTGATGCTCATGGATGTTGACATGAGTGATGCTCATGAATGTTGACATGAGTGATGCTCATGAACGTTTATGTATGATTGATATGAGTAATGCTCATGAATGTTTATGTATGATTGACATGAGTAATGCTCATGTATAATTTGAAGTATTTGGCGTACTTTTGATCACTTGATTGGTGATAATAGCGGCAGACTGCCGAATAATTTGGAGTACTGGGTGTACTTTTGATCACCTGGTTGACGATAATATGCCGAATAATTTTTTGTGGTACTGGGCGTACTTTTGGTCACCTGGTTGGTGCTATTTTGGGCTTATGGGCCTTCGCCCTCCACACAACATTCTAGCCCATTTATTTTAGGCTTTGCCCTTTTTTTTTTGTTTTTTGGATTACCCTCTGATGGGGTTATACAGATATCTCCGAAAGATACGAAAAATAAATTACATCATTCAAAAATAAGGAAAGTAAACCACATCATTCTGGTGGGGTGTTTATTCCTTGCTTTTGCAGTGTGGATGTTTATTCCTTACTTTTGCTTGTGTTTTTCTGATGCACTCTATCTGTCTCTTCACCTGGTAGACAGAAGGAATCATAATAATAGGAAGATCTTTTACTTTTCTTCTTTTCTCTTTTCCTTTTTTTTTTTCACTACACTCTCTCTGTCTCTTCACCTGGCAGACAGAATGAATCATAATAATAGGAAGATCTTTTGCTTTTCTTATTTTCTCTTTTCCTTTTTTTCTTTTGCTTTCTCAGAAAATAAAGATGCAGGGGATGGGTCATTGATCTCATCCAGCAGGTTGTCTGCAGCATACAGAGCATCTTTGATCTGCACTATCTTCCCTGCAATTTGTCGAGGTACTGGGGTTGATCATGGGCCCTCTTGATCGCTTCCCGGAGACCGCGAGATTGAGAACTGGACGGCGAAGCCTTACTGGAGATCCACCGCCGTTGCTGTTTCAAGTCATATGGATCAGCTCCTTTTTCCTTCATGTCTGCTATTTTGGCAGCTTCTCTCTCAACCTCTTTCTCATAGGAATGAAGCTCCTTAACTAGGCGTTTACAAGTACCAGTCTTGACTTTCAGATTTCTTAGGGTTGCCATTAGTGTCCTGGGCGTTTACAGTATTTATGTTATTACCTCTACTAAAAGATGCACAAACACCAGAGTGTGCAAGAGCAAAGACGATGTCATGTGCGGCAACTGTCTCAATGACCTTTGTCATTTTCATCAGAAAAGGTAATATGGCTAAAGAATGCCCTTTGAGGTCATGAGTATCATATTCCTCCACGAGGTGCACGTTGCAAAACCTCTCTTGGGAATTGCTCATCCTAAAAGCTCGATCACGCTTCGAATAAATTTCACACCTCTGAAGCTTCTCCATGCTGTTTACGAACCCATCGGAGCCACCCTTCTTCTTTGCCACCACTCGTCGGACGGAGCACAGCCGAGGACTTGCCGATATTCTCCTTCCTACTTCCATTCTCAACTCTCAGATTCTGGTTTCATACACCACCCAATATATATTCGAATTCAAATTCAAAATACATATATATCCACACACCCAAGCAGATTGGATCAGAATGCGGAGTGCACTATGGCAGATTGGCAGACTTCATCAGGCCGGAAGGATACTCCACTTGGGACAGCAAGTCCGGAAACACCCAACACACCTTCTTCAGAGAGTTTAAGAAGATAAAACCAGAGGTCTCTCTGTTCCGCTTCTTGATCTCATCGACAACGGTGAGGATGTGCTGGAAGTACTGGCGGAACACACGGTGCTTGTCGGACCGGTTGATTTTCAAGACGAAAGAGCGGATTCCGTCTGACTCGAATTTCTGATTGGTCCAGGAGAGCTTGGCGCTGAGGAATGTGTCTTAGACGGCGGAGTTGGCGGCATCGTGCTGGAAGAAGATGTCGTTTGATTTGACGCCGGTGAAGAGGTTGGTGAAGTCAGAGTCCTCGATGGAAGGGAGGGAGTCGAGGTAGACGGAGATCTTCCGGTACAGCCGGTTCTCTTGGAAGTGCTCGTTGAATTGCGGGATTTTGTAGAATTGGTAGACTCTCAACCGATCCGCCAAGGATTGCCATAATTTTGTGAATTTGTGAACCAGAGATGTTTCGGCATTCTCTTCCATAGCTTTTGATTTTGGCTTTTGGGGTGGGGGTTTTCTGGAAAAGCCTAAGGAGGTTCTGGGTTTCTGCAGATTTTGCAGTGTTGATTTTGTAGATTTTGCAGATTCACGATGGAGGTGAAAAAATGAAAGCGAACCAACATAGTTTTTCGTGTCGTTTCCCACAGACGGCGCCAAATGTTGATGCACAAAACCGGAGGTCTTGGAACAATGTAAATCCGACCGTGAATCTGTAAGAAATGTAAATAACACAAGATGTATCGTGGTTCACCCCAATGTTTGGGCTACGTCCACACTGATTATTGTATTTCCCTGAGAGGATTGTGAGGGAGAGAACCTCTGTAATGTGAGAGGGGATCTGAGAGGGTGAGGGGGTTTCAGGCCTAAGAGTTGGCCTCCCCCAATAAGGAGAGTGAAAGTCCTTTTAGAATAAGGGCTCCTCACTTATTACATATTTGCCCCTTCCTTTATTACGTAATTACATTTGAGTCTCCCGAGTATTTATACGAGATCTAAATACGGAGGTTCTAAGTATAGTACAAACAAAAGGTATATGTTTTCCGTTGCTATATGCACCTCAATTTAACAAAAACGTGGAACTAATGAACACAAAGATACATAGTGCTCTTTTGCACAAAAGAAAGTACTCTGATTGTTATGTTAGAATATAATTTGGGAAAATTAGGTTCACATCCTTATTTTTGTTACTCAATTGATTAAAATCCTATTCATTTTTAATTTTTTATCAAGGTCCTTGGGTATTAATAACATCATTAATTATTTGAATAATAAAATATTTTTATTTTTAAATATGTTCCTTTAGAGTTAAAAATGTTACAATAGTATATTTATATTTATGGCTAAATTTTTTATCATATATTTTTATTTTTAGTTTGTTCCAATTTTTAATTTGCAAATATTTTTTAATTTGTATCAATTTTCTTTTCATTTTTAATTTGTACCCATATATTAGTTTCTTTTTGTGCTCATGTTTTTTAAAGTTTTATTTGTGTTTGTACTCATGTGTATATCATTACGTGACATTGTATATTTAATCAACGATGGAAAACTTATATATGGTATATTTATGTTTTATGCCTAAACTTTGTATTATATATTTATATTTTTATTTTGTACCCATTTTTAATTTGCAACATTTTTTTTAAAATTTGTGGTATTTTCTTTTTAATTTTATTTTGTACCCATTTATTAATTTCTTTTAGCACCTATATTTTTAAAAATTCATTTGTACTCATAATTTTTAATCTTTTATTTGTACCCTAATTTATTTATAATGTACCCATTCTTCTTTATTGATGTACCACTTTGTTATATGTGAAATGTACCAATTTTTTTTGGTAAAATGTACCAATTTTTTTAACACTATGGATACATTCTTTTGCCATTTATTATTTCTTATTTTTACATAGTTTTATCCATTTATTCAATTAAAATGTTTGAATTTTTTTTATTATAATTGTTTCTAATAGTATTATAATGAGGGATTTTAAATTTATAGGATTATAAATCTCATAAAATATCAAACAATTAATGTCAAAACTATAAAAATATAAATATTAATAGTAATATAATGAGGTGTACAAAGTCAAGGAACCTTAATCAAACTTTGAATACTATTAAGGTTTTAATCAAAGAATGTTAAGAATTAGAGACCGCAATCAAATTATCCCATATAATTTTGGTTATTCTACCCATGTTCATTGTGAGACTAACAGAATTGCTCATTGTCTAACTCATTATAGTTGTAGTTGTGATAATTATTGCACGTGATTGAGAGTCATCTAATTTTTATATCAAATTTATTAACGAATGATTGTTGTAGTTTAGTGACTGTTGATACCTTCTTGTTGTATATGTTTTTTTATCAATGAAAACGATCAATTTCTATCAAAAATATATTTTCGGTTTTGATCAGAAATCAATTTTAATTAGTGTGATTCGGACTATTCGATTTTGGCAACGCGCATGTTTTCATTTTTCACAAAGGTGATTGATTACGAATGATGAAATTAATCATCAAAGTGTTGATTAAGGGGCACGAATTATCCTTAACTCCTCCTCTGCTTTTGAAAGGGACAAAGATAAGCTTCAATGTTATGCTAAATGGTGAGCATATGATACGGATATCAGGTTTTATCAACTTTTTAATGGTTTTTCTTTCTAACTCTGCTTCTTTTTGTAGTCAAAATAGAATCTTTAAAAGCTGCTATTTCTGTCTCTATAGCTAGCTAACTAATCTTTTATTTCACACTATAGTTGGTCTTATTCTACAAGTTACGATTTACGAGAAATGCTAAAGAGTCTTAAAAAAAAGGAACTCTCCACTGTTTTATGTTTTTAACACATATTTTATAATGTTAGCACAAAAACTAACGTTAAAAGGTAATGTAATATAGAGTACATAAATAATCTCACCTTAAGAGTCTCTTTAACAGTTATCTCCCATTCACTTACCTCCCTCAACTTCTTTCCTTGTAATCCTCTCCACTTAATATCGACTGCAATGCAAAATTTTGCTTGACTTTTGTGTACAATTGACCACACACACAAAAGACTTTCGTGTATAGAAGATATTGGGTTCGAATATTTTTCGGCTTCAAGGTGTAACACCAATTTCTTAAGCTTTGTGGCACGGTTTGTTAAGAGAAAGAAACACAACAACCATTGAAACATAATTAAAGGTTTTAGAGAGAGAGAGCACAGAGAGAAGAAGAGAATTCTATATTTCTTGATTGAAAAGATACAACGATTACCAATATATAGGTGATTTGTACAGCTAATCTCTACAACTTTATCACTTAACAGATTTTAACAATACTAAGTCTTATGCTTATCAAGTGATAAGTGTATCAATCCACACCATCCATGCACTCTATTCCCTAACATGCCCCCTCAAGCTCATGATTGGAAGGTCCAAGCATGAGATTGCAACAATGAGTACAAAAGAGTGGAGAGTTGAGTCCTTTTGTAAGGATGTCTATAAACTGCTCATAAGAGGAAACACAGTTTCTTGCTAGTTATGTCAAAATCTAAAATCTAAAATCTAAATCTTTTTGGGAAGTAGTCCTTGCAATTGGATAGTGGAGTATTAGATTACAGTTGCATAAAAGACTCTGCAATAAGAAAATCTTCCTAGCATTGTATTTTACAACCATATCGTGTGTTCCATAGTACCCAAATCAACATAGACCTGGTGCTCCCACCTTTATCACAAATTCTCATATGATAGCCTAACTGAATATCAAATATACTTCCACCATTGCATAACCGAAATACATAAAATCCTCTGAACTCATGTGCAACAGTTTGAGCAGGAGCACTAATTTCCGTTTTGTTGTCCGAGTTAAGAATCGGAAATGTCACTTGGATACACGATTATAAACCCACTGAAATCAATTGAGATTTTGCATCCTCATGCCCCCTCACGTGGAACCCCATTTAGTGGTTCACATGTGGAGATCCACATATCGGCAATTGAAACTCAGAGGTTGGCTCCAATGGAGTCCAGACTTGTTTTCAATCCTTCCAGGAGGTGCTTTTTAAGAACTTAGAGACCGGCTCTATATTAAGAGTTTAGACTTGTTTCCAAACCCACACTTCTTGGTGACAAGCCTTTGGCTTGCACGGGCCCGTAACCTGACTCTAATACTATGTTAAGATAAACAGACACAACAGCCATTGAAACATAATAGAAGGTTTTAGAGAGAGAGCACATAGAGAAGAAGAGAATTCTATATTTCTTGATTGAAAAGATACAACAACGATTCAACAATATAAAGGTGATTTGTACAACTAATCTCTACAAACCTTATCACGTAACATATTCTAACAATTCTAACTAACTCTTATGCTTATCAAGTGACAGGTGTATCAATCCCCACCATCCATACACACTATTCCCTAACACAGTAGTTAGTGGGGGAGAGATATTACGAACGTTTCTATCCAATTATGTCACATCACATGAGGAGAGAACAGACAAATGAATCATCAACTAACATTTTTAATGGTTAGTTACAATTAAAATCATTTTAGATTGATATGAAAAAGCCCCATACACGTCCTTGTATCCATAAATCCATATGCACATTTTTGTGAATATCTAATCGTAAATGTAGGACCTGAAATATAAGCGCAAAAGAGAGAAGTAGCAGGAAAAAGAAATTTCATTGTCCATGAACTCTTTTACTTAATTAACAGATTAAAGAAATTTCTATTTACATTTAAAACTTTACACCACATAAGAAACAAGCATGCAACAGATCTGGTTGGATGTGGTATGAAAAGAGAAAGGAAGAGATAAGAAGAAGCAAAGAGAAAATTTTTGGTCGGCGACGAACGAGTGTTGCTGTTGGCGAGTGTTGTGGTGAGTTTGATTGACGTTGGCTAATGAGATCCGATGTTATTGTCACCGTAGTCGCCACCACCATCCCCACAACCATCGTTGCAGCCATCCTCACCACTATCGTCGTTTTCTATGCCACAACCTCCATATTCTCATGACCATAAGTACTACCATGAACCCCCAATGTCATTGCAATTGCCACCATCATTCCGACCGTATCCACCATCACTGTCATCACCACCTCCCACAACCATCACCACCGCCAATGCCACAACCACAATTGCTACCATCTTATCACTAGGAGACACTCTACCGCCCCTGACACATCTATCAACCACTCCATGGCGACCACTCTCACCACACATCTATTAACCTCTACCACTAATTACTACTTTTATATCCATCATCCAAACGCAGGTAATTAAAAGATTGACTAAACAAAAAAAATTAGTATAAAAAATTTACATATTTCGACTTGAGACCCAACTTCAAGTTGGACTTTGTCTAAAAATTTAGAGATTGAGACTTCAAATATCATCTAATTAAACATCTAATTCATCTAAGCACCAACTGCTTAGTTAATTTAGAGGGTCCTATAATGGCTCTTCCATAGGCCACAGGCAATGATACAAACTTCTTTGCTTTTCCCACATAAGCCCTTTTTGTGAAATTGTCATAACCATTTGCTTCAATTGCATCTAGAATCTGCCTATACAGCAACAAAGATGCCCATACTGGCCATCTACTGGCTGAGTTGAGCTCTGAGACACCCTTCTCAGCCTCATCAAAGAACATCCTAGCTCTCTTTATTTGTCCCTTCATGAAACTTTGCCACTTGTCAGTCACCTTCCCGCGAAAGATGTCATCGTCTGATAGGCCGGCTTGGGCAAGCTCATCTTGGGGGAGATATACTCTTCCTCTCCTAGCACTTAAATGATCAATTCAAAGAGCAAATTTTAGTTAGACATGAACAATAACCATATTATTTTGGATGTGCAATGTTGTCTTGCCAAATAAATATTTATGTTATCATACTGTGAATCTCGACCACGTTCAAGAAAAGGCTAGACTAATCAATGGTTCATACTCATAGTCGTGCAACACGAGTTTCTAAACATGGAATGTTTAAAATGACTCATTTATTATAAGAATAAACTTACTCTTCTCCAACATCTCTCAGAATGTTAGTGAGCTGATTAGCAATTCCAAGGGCCAATGCAGCATTGTAAACGCTTTCTGTTGAGGCGCTTGATTCTGGGCATATCCCCATTACCGGAACACTCATCAATCCAACAGTTCCAGCAACATAGTAGCAGTAAAGGTAAAGTTCATCAAAGTTCTGGTATCTTGACTTCCTCAAGTCTAATCTCATTCCTTCTACCATGTCTCTGAAGGGCTGTCAAAAAAACAAAATTTGTATGGTGAATCATTCCGTACTTTCGAATTTCGATAGATAAAAAAGAGTTAATATCTGATTGTGAGCATGCGGTATTTGTACCTGAATGTCAACAGGGTACTTGGTGACAGTATCAGATAGAGCAGCATCATACATATCGTAAGGTCGGCCTTCAAAGAGATCAGTCAGTCTTTTCTCCCATCTGTCAAGAGCTTTGGGCGTAATGTATGAAGCATTAGGTCCATCCACTAGCTCATCTGTCCTTCTGCACCACACTGCAGAAAGAAAAAAAAGAAGCACTCTTCATTTAGTATTTACCATTCCAAATCATTAAATAATCTCTGAGCCCAAAGATTATCCACAATTTGTTCCCTCATTTGCAATCTTTACAATGAAAATTTGAGTCAAGTAGATGTTAATGCAGGAAAAAAAATGCTTTTTCCAAAAGGGATTTGTTGCCTCAGTTGTAAAGAGCATGTAGAAATCAGTTTTAAGTGGACTAAATTTGCAACGTTAGGCATATCCTAACCATAGATTGCCCAAACAGCTCGTCGCCGCTCCGGTGTCATGAGCAATGTGCCTGAAAACACACAGAAAGAAGTTGATAAGTACAGTGTCTTGCCAATTAAATAGAACATCCATTTCAAGTAAAAAATGGAAAGAAAAACGATTCCAAGTTTTCTTGCCTGCAATAATAGTTAGAAAAGTAGAATTAATCTAATTGCCCTCAAATTTCCAATCCATTTCTCCATTTCCCTTTACTTGCATGCAATGAAAATTAGAATTAGTCAGATTCTTAACTTCCGTGTGCTTACTAAAACATGAGTGTTGGTATTAATTCAATTGCCGACTTTTTTGTGTTTACTAACATATGGAACCACAAAAAAGTGTAGATTCCATATTAAAATCCGTAATTCAATGCTTGAAAAATCAGAACAGATCAGTTAGATTAACTATATTTCCTTCTCTCTTCCCATGACTTCCAATTAAGTATTGAGTGAATGATGATATAAACTACTTAAGACTCACGTGTGAACGTTTTAGGAGTAAAAAGTAATCCAAGATGTGCACTAAACTGCTTGAACAATAAAAAATGGAAACAAAATCAAGTGCTCTGTCCACTTTATTAAAATAGTGTACTTAATTAGTATATTCTATATCCACGAAAATGACTGGATCCCATTAAAAAAAACAGATAAACAGACAGCAAAAACACACCACAGAAACAGATCGATGAAGGAGGAGCAGCAGAAATCCAGAAAAGTTTCTTACCCAGGTAAAAAGTTTTGGCATACTCAGCACAGACTTCACCACACCGATCATAAGCCTTATCCAGTAAATCCCAGTTGTCCAAACCTTCAGTTACAATCCGTTCATCCAAATTCAGAGATTTCCTTTTTACCGTGCTCTGTTCTTTCACCAGCGCAGCCTGCTTCAGCACCACTTCATACACCTTCTCTTCTGAAGATCTTGCTGGGTTTACAACTGCACCCGAGTAGGCCAAAACCCTACTTGAAAATCCCAGCTTTGGGCAGAATTTAGACCTCCTTGGGGTGCAAATTCTGGGCATCAGACCCAGTAGGGAGCTGGCATTCTCTTTGGGGCTCACCACCCAGAGTAGAACACCTGACATTGGGTTTTAGGTTTTGAGTGTGAGGGTGTGAGTATGTGAGCTGTGAGGTTGTGGCTTCTCTTATGGAGATTGGAGGGTAAGGCAAAGTTTTGAAAGCAGTGGTAGTTGGCAAATGTGTGTCTAGTAGTTTTTGCGTAACGACTGCGATATATATACATATAATTATAGGTTCCAAGGTTAATATCGACGTCGGTGCATGTACTGAGAGAAGAAAAGTTATGGTCCTTGTCAAACTAGGCAAGTTCAAGGAATATGCTTTGCCATTCGCATAGCTGGTAACATGGAAATATGTGGACAGCGTTTGTATGACTTGTGTGTGTAATTATTTTTATTTTTCCTTCTTGTTTTTTTGGTTGAGAATACGTCAGTTGTTTGCCAAGGTGGATGAAGAAGAGTCCGTTGTTGGCATGAGACATACATCAATTGACGGTTCAGAATAATTTACTTGAGCACGAGATGTTCGGAGCGTAGCGAAAATTTTTATGTCCTATTTTGTAACTGACTTTTAGAATATTCGTTTTTGTAAATTATGAAGTAGAGAAAATTGTTCGCTCAAATGACAATTTTTTTTAGAACTATTCACCTTAGTGACAATTTTGAGATAGTTGTTCACGACACGACAATTTTCACGGTCATTGTAACTTGTAAGTAGTACCTACTATACATGTAGAGAAAAATGACCTTGAATGGGGTTATTACATGAACATTTTAGCGAAGTTAGGGTGTGTTTGTTAAACCTTCTTAAAAGGGACTGGCTTGAACTATCTTAACCAAGACTATAATCCCATGTTTGGTAGGTTGTTGGACTAAACATAAATGGGACTCGCCTCGGCTACGAGTCCCGCCGCACTTCACTATAGCCGTTTATCTAATCCCAAGCTTTCGCTTGGTATTAACAGGGACTAGAAAGGAAATGAGGCCTACGTCCAATTCCCAATTTTCGCTTGCTAAACCCAGACACCCAGTCCCTCTGCGCTCCACCTTCTTCTTCTCCGGCGCCGTCACCGTAAGCCTAGGGAGGACGACAACTGGCGCTGCAGGAAAACTTCGATTGATTTGGCGGTGTGGGTTTAATTTTGAGAATCGACCGTGGCGTCCTCCTCGAGGCCCCAAGCGCTCCGCTAGGAAGATGCACCCGCAAGTTTGTCGCTTTCTTCTGCAAGATCGATTGACGTCGATTTGCAAAAATTGAATGAAACGAGTTTGTAGATCCGACGAAGCCTCTGTAAATTAAAAAAAAAAAATTGGGATTTTTCTGTGTTTGATTTGAAGAGAAAGAAATTAGAAGGAGAGAAGGTTTGAATTGAAGAGAAAGAAAATGAAATGAAGAAAAAGTATGGGTTTGATTTTTCTGAGTTTGATTTTTAATGGGAATGGCAGCAATCTTGCATGCGAAGAACAGGAAGCAAATGAAAGAAAGAAGACAAGTAGAGGGACAGGGAGAGACAGAGAGAGAAATTTAAAAATGTGTATAATAATAATAAATTTTAAAAATAATGAATTAAAAATAGAGTTTTAACGAAAAATTCGCGATACTGTTTACTTTAACGAAAAATCATATTTTTACACTAAAAAATCAAACCTGGTACTATTCACTTTACCTTTTATTTTGTCCTTATCGTTAAAACTCCAAATTTTCAAGTTTTTTTCATTAGTTTTCCTATTAAAAAATGACAGAAAAATATTTGATCTACAAAAATAATTGAGTCCGAGATTTAGTCTGACACTGCACCAAATGCTTCATTATCTTTATACTACTTAAAATTAGTTCAGTCCGAAATAATCAGGTACAACAAACGCACCCTTAAAGAATAATTGTTCAATTTTAAGTCGTAACTCAAAAACAAAATTGCTCCTTATACAATTCTATTCAAATAATCAACCAAAAAAAATACATTTAAGAGAAAATTGTAGTAATGGTCTCTTAACTTTAACTTAATTGGAGCAATGGTCCCTCAACTAAAAATTCATGATCATTAGTCCCTTAACTCTTCAAAATGTGCAGCTATAATCCTTTTTATCAACTCTATCATAATTCTGTCAAAATAACTCATGTTGGAAGGACCATTGCTACAATTGGGTTAAAGTTGATGGACTATTGCTCCAAATGTGCTAAAGTTAAGGGACCATTTCTCTAATTGGGTTAAAGTTGAGGGTCTATTGCTACAATTTTTCTCATTTGGTTTTTCATGTTTGCCTTGGTTCAGCCTCATGTATGTGGCACACGACTCATTTTGATGGAAGTTTTAACGGAATTGACAAAAATGACCATACCTACACGTTTTGATGAGTTAAGGGACCAATAGTCATGAATTTTTTAGTTGAGGGACCATTGTTCAAATTGAGTTAAAGTTTAGAAATCATTGCTACAATTTCCTCAACATTTAATTATACATAATATTAAAAAGGGCGGATCAGTGACACAATTTTTTACATGCATTTTGTAGGGTCCACTTTGTAATATATTTCAACATCCGAACCATTTATATTTTAGAACATTATTCATTGATCATTCTTGCAAAAAATTAGACAAATCCAAAACTATTAGTACTTTAATTTGTAACGAAGGAAAAGGACATATGTGGTTTTGTAAAGAAACACTAAAATTAATCCAACTGTCATATGGTTTTGGATTTAGGTAATTTTTTGTACACGTGATATTTGAGGGAATACCTAAAAGCTAGACAATTCAGCTCGTTAAAATACATTACAAAATAGATTCTTACAAAAATATGTATAAAATAAATAGTGTCACGGATCAGGGTGCAAGGATTATTGTTGATTTCTTTTACAAGAATGTCTCCTCATTACATTAGCTAGAGGGTCATTGTCACTTTTATTGGAAAATGAGATATCACTTTTATTAATTACAAACAAACTATGTAAATATTTTGAACTTGAAAAAAATACTTGAAACCGTTACTCACCGGACAAAACTACAAAACTTATTTAGTTCCACTTGAATGTAAAACCAAACAATTAACTAATTGTCATTGATCTTTGCATTTCGAGAAAGATTATCCGTCCTACTTGCTATATAAATATTGTTTTCACAATATAAATAAAAGATATGTGGGGTTCGATCTGAATAAAAGATAATATTTTACATTTTATATAAACAATATAATCGAGTTTTTCTCTCTTGTTTTGGTGAACACAGATCTTTCTCATTTTTATATTCAGAGACTTCTCAGTTTATACTTAAGTCTTTCTCTTTGGAAAGTGACAGCTACCAACAAGATTGCAATCTAACTAAAGAAAGGAAGTGAATGTCGCTGGAAATTTTATGTGCCAAACTTTGATTCCTTTGAAGGAAAAAAAACTGATTCCTTCAAATATTTTGCAATCTCGTGACTGGTGAGTAAGATGCCCTCGCTTTCAACTAGTCTAAATTGGAAGGAGAACTTACGGTTGGAGTTGTATCATAAAAGCAAATTGAGTGATTGGATGCTATATAACAATTCCATTTTAAATAATTAATAAAGTGTAGTGATATCCACACACTCTTTTTTACTTTTCATACACCCCCTCTTAATTTATGATCATTTGATTGAATAAATTGAAAGAAATCAACAACCATAAATTAATAAGGGTATGTGAGAGATAAAAATAAGTGTGTGGATAACATTATCCGTACTAAAAGGACAAGTTTTATTCATTCATGAGTTTGACTTTATGTACAAGTGGTGGATATACAAGTGCTTGTTTGTTAAATAAGTTCACTGAACACTAACTGCCGAAGAAGCGTAAACGTATGGATTTATATCACATAAGGTTACAAAGCTTCAAGTTGTAATATACAAATAGTTTTAGACCTAAGGCATCATCTGAAAGCCATCAATGCTTTGCAGAGCCCGTTAGTGTGTTGCTTGGGTTCATGTGTATAAGTATAAAGATAGATGAATATGCAGTAAGGAATATATCACCTTCTGATAATTGTTCAATAGAAGGAGATATCCTTTGAAGCCACTTGAAGATCCATCTCAGAAATCTTCAACCAAAGTGCTTGTTGATCAAACTATGTTTGTAAGAATTGATTCATCATGTGATGCATCATGGTGATCATTAACAGTAATATGTGATTTGACATTATTTATATCACAAAATCTTTGATTGGGATATTGATGATAGAAGAATCTAATTGCATTATAACTACAATCGAGGCTTGAAAGACTACCGTGATTTGTTCATGTCTAAAACTATCTAATCTGAGTGGTCATGGAATGATTATAGGTGTCACTCGTGGATTGTAGAATTAAATTTATTAATTTATTAATCTCACTGTCGGCTTTAGTTAAAACCTAAGAGGTCAACACTTATGATAGGACTAACGACTTTACATGGATGATGATTGTTTGGGTTAAAACTTAAACTTTGGGCTCAAAAGGGAGTCGGCCCAAAAGAAGGACTAGGAGGAAAGGGGCCCAAAGCCCAAAAGGCAGAAACGGGCTTTTCTCGACTAGGTGTAGATTATTTGAACCACTTGTTCACCTACCTAAAGACCAAGTGGTGTAGACCAGCCAGCTAATCAGCCCAAAAGCACTTTACAGTGGCAGTACAAGTAAAAAGCTGATGAGTCATTGCCCTTCAAGCTGCATTCGGCCAAGATTAAAGCTACAGGAGGCCAAGCCAAACTGTCTATAAAAGAACAAAGAGAAATCAGAGATGGGGACACTCAAACAAACAAACAAATACAAGCACAAACTCTGCTCAAGCCAGATTTGCTTTCAACGACGCTGTAGTCAGCCCAAGCCTTCATCCCTTTCGGGATCAACCATCACCCAAAGCCTTTGTAAAAGCTCTGCTACCTTGTATAAATCCTGTTGTAGTATCGATTTCCTTCTGTAAACGCATCTCCCTATCCCTCTTTCTAAGCTCTCAAGCCCCTCTATAAATCACAAAGATAGGAAGTTGCAAGACGACCAGTCTTGCCCGACCCTTTTTGTTTTTATCTTTTCATTCATAAGTCTAGTAATATGTTATATACTTCCATTTGTATCCAAGTTAGTTATAGCAAGTTGATGATTAAAAGACTCCTCAGTGCTTGAATCCGATTGGAATATGTAGTCACAACTTAAATCAAATC